ATGAGGCGGCGAAGGCAGGAGCGAACCTTCACCAGCCTCTTGATGATGCCCTCAATGACAGTCTTTCCTTTTTGGTTTCGGTTTCCAAGGCTGTCGCCAACCTTGCCGCCCATCTCCTGGATCTTTGGCCCAGGACCAACCTGGACGGGGTCTCTTGGGAGCGCCCTCTGGCTCTTGGTCCTCCCAGGGTTCAAGGTCCTGGTCACTCCTGGGGTTGGGCAGGCAAATTCTGGCAATGCAACGAGTGCCTCAAGTGCTCTCGTTCTCTTTCGAGACCTCCGCCTGGGAGGTGCTCTCAGCAGCTTAAGGTTTCGCCCCAGTCTCTGAGAGACTTGGGTCATCGCTGCATCATTGTCGACTGCAGCGATGGAAGTTTTGTGGCGTTTTGCCAGCTGTGCTTCTTCTACACATGTGGAGGGCAGCTTCGCGGGTTGGGGGACCCCTGTCCAGCGAATCCCTCCCACCCTCTGGTCGTGCGAGGACACGCGGACAAGCTTTGGTCCGCCCACAAATCCCGCAGAAGAGATCTTTGGTCCAAACTCAGCAGAGGGCTCCATCCGAAACGGAATGGGGTCACAGTTGATTTGGACGGCATTGGAGTTTTATAACAATTATCTCTCTAATGCACTTTTCCCGCACTGCGGGTCTTTGATCGTGGATGTCAAAAAAATCCAGCGCAGTGAACAAAGCATCGAGGCGGAGGTGTTCTGTCGTTTTTCTGCTTCCGGATGCCCCCACCGGGTCCCGGGGGGCCATGCAGAGACGGTTCAGGTGGAGAAGCCGGCCCTGAGGAAAGGGTCGGGACTTCCGTCCGAGGGCCCCGTTTTGGAGAACAACCGAAAACTTGGATGTCTGGGGTCGTTGTCGGCACGGCCGCTCTCGTCGCCGCCGTCGTCGCCATCATCGGAGTCGAGGAAGGGATGGGGAAATGGATTCGTCATTCTCGTCGCCATCGCGTACCTTCCTGTGTCTCGTTCACATGCATGCGGCGTTCTCCCAGATGAGCTGCTGAGCATGATGCGCTCTCTTCCTATCTATGAGGCGCCGGGCTTGCTGCGCCCAGTGCTTGCTAGACATGTTTGCGTCCTGTTCGGTCGTGACTGGCTCCATGAGCCCGTCGAGTCGTGACCGGCTCCACGAGCCCGTCGTCTTCTGGTGACCAAATGCCGCCGGCTGTCCCACAGGAGGCCGCCCCCCGACTGGCCGCTGCCCCGAGACACGCCGATGTGGCTGCGCATCTCCAGGGGGCCCGGGCCGACGGCGGGAGCGGCAACGGCCACGGAGGTCAGCCGACCACTCGATGACCTCTCTCTGTCCGGCTCCGTTTTGCTTTGTGCCTGCATCTCGGTCTCCGTGCTCCCCGCACGCCCTCGCCAGCTGACAGAGGTCGCGTGTGGATCGCACCCGGCCCAAACCCAGCTGACACATCAGCGGGGGGAGGCGGCATGGACGAGGAGGACCAGGAGGGAAACAAGGAGGAGGAGTTGGTGGCGGATGGGGCCAAACGATCTGCGGCACCGATTCCGCAGTTTCATTGTCCTTTTCTCCTCTTGTGCCCCTTTGGTCACCGCGTCAGGGGTATGTTCGGGAAGCGGGAGGACCTGGCGCCCACGTAACAAGCTGGGGCCAATTTCAGCGGAGCCCTACTGGAATTGTTGTGTGCCTTGATCGTTTCTCTACAGCGACGCACGCGAGTCAAACATGCAGTGGGAATTGCACCAGGGAAAACCCAAGTTGCTCGTGCGCAGAATTTGACGGCGGCGCATTCGTGGGCGCGAGCACAGGGTGATGGATGCGATTATCCTTCTTCTCTACTCGTTACACTTTGTTTCCTGCTGTCCACCCTTACTCCCCATGCTTTATTGTCAACTCTCAACGGTCTACTTTCTTCGACTGGCTATTTTCTACCTTCCCCGTCAGCAATGCGTCTCGGCCCTGCATCCCACACTCTACCATCCACCCTCGCCTCCTAACTTTGTGTTTTCTACTATACTCCACACCTCCTCCTCGATACTCTCTGCCCCCTCTCTCTCTCTCTCGGCTCGCTGTACTCCCTCTGCTCTCCCTCTCTCTGCTGGTTGTACTCGTGCTACTCTTCCTAACATATCATACTAGCCTTGCTACTCCCTCTGCTTTCTGCGCCCCGTACCCTGGACATGGGCCGCCCACTCGAATTGTCGGGGAACGTTCGAGAGGGCTCACCGGATTCGGCCCAGCATTTCGCCGCACCTTTTCAGTTTACACAAATTCGAGAGCCTGGAAGCCCCTCCGCCTACAAGAGTCGGCCCAGTGGTATTGCCAAACCCTTGTCAATATCCGCGCAGTGTACTGATTGAGAAATTCTGTACAGGTTTTTACCTTACAGCCGATGCATGGACCATGTCTGAAAGTGGCAGCGCAACGCTCGCAGTTAGTTGTACCTCCCGCGACTTTTGCATGGCAGGTTGTTCTCTGCAGGCCCTAGGGGGCGCGGACATGGCATCCATACTCAGAAGCGCCAGCCTCCTGATTCTTCAGGGTTCCAGGGACACGGCTCGCGTATAGCTCCGCCCCCTGCGCAGTGTTCGCACGGCCATCGGACGACGACAGTACGGCACAGTTGCCACAGGCATGCCAAGAAGACTGCTGCAAACTCACCACAGCCAGGGCATGACTGTCCCAAGCTGCTTGGGACAGTCAGAGCGTGTCCAGGCATCCTCCGACATGACTGGTTCAAGCCACGCTCTGCTTGGGCCAAGCAGAGCGTGGACAGGGCTCTGCTTGGCCCGAGCACTGCTGGGCCTAGCAAGCACTGCTGGATACGCTCTGCTTGGGCCAAGCAGGGCGTATCCAGGCATCCTCCGACATGACTGGCTCAATCCACGGCCCCAGGGCTCCCGACCCCTTCCCCTGGGCGTCGTTTTTTGCCCTGGCTATCCGCCTGTGCTGGCCAGGGGCCCGACCACGGGCCCCAGAGCTCGACGTCGAGGAACCCCTGCGGGCTTCCAGCGACGTCCTGCCGTCGACGACCTGGCGCTGCCTCGGGCAGGGCGCCGCTGCGACCCGACGAGCAGACGCTTGGCCTCGAGGCCTCCTAGATGGGGTCGGAGCAGGTACAGCAACACCGCGAGGAAGCCGCCCTCCAACTCCTCCTCCTCCAACTCCTCCTCTTCCTCCTCCTCCTCCTCCTCCTCCTCCGCACCATCACCATTATCATCATCATAATCATCATCATCATCATCACCACCATCAGCAGATGGGGTCGGAGGATCGCGCCACATCGCCGATACATCGGCGATGCATCGGTGATGCATCGGCGATGCATCGCCGATGCACCGGCGACGCATCGCCGACGTCGGCGATACATCGGCGAAGTCGACGCGAAGCGGATCGTGCTGCACACCGAGCCGCACCGGCGATGCACCGGCGGTGCGGCGCGATCCTCCGACCCCGTCCACTCCGACCCCACTTAGAAGGCCCAGAGGCCTGCGAGCGCCGTTCGATCGATCGGACACCGCTGCCGGCGCAGGCCAGCGCGCCGACCTCGGCGCCCGCCGCGGCGCCCGCGGCGGCCGCCGCAGCGGCGAGGAGCGCCGAGTCGCTTGCGCCCCCCGCGGCGCCGCCGCAGGCGGCCCTCGCGCCGAGAAGCGTCGGCGGCCCTCGCCGGCGGCTCTCGGCGGCTCTCGGCGGCTCTCGGCGGCTCTCGTCGGCCCTCGGCGGCCCTCGGCGGCCCTCGGCGGCCCTCGGCGGCCCTCGGCGGCCCTCGGCGGTCGCCGGCCTCCCTGTCCAGCGGCCTGCGGCGTGAAGCGCCGCGGCGGCGCGGCGCTCTTGCGAGAGTGGCGTGTCTCGCACGCTGCCGCGCGGTGCCCCCCCGTGCGCGACGGGTCGGCGAGCGGAAGAGGGCCCCCGGCGCCACGGCGGGAGAGAGGCACGTCTGGGAGGAGCTGCGCGGCGCTGCGGCGCGAGCGGCACTTCGACATTTTGCGCGCGCGGTGCGTGCCGCGCCCCGCTCCCGCGGCACAGCGTCGACGACCAAACGTCCGCGAGAACAGGAGCATGTTGACGCACTGTGCTGTTTTCTGTTGGGCGGCACGCGGGAGATCCTGGATAATCACGGCCCCCGTCGTGCGGCGAGGTGGCAGAGTGGGCACGCCCCACGCCTCTGGGAGTGGCAGGAGGAACGGGGCTGGGCGCAGCCGCGGACGGCCCCGGGTGGAGCTGGCGAGAGCAGCCTGGGCACGCTCCCCCATCCCAGCCTGGCATCGCTCGGACGTGTGTTTTTTTTCTCGGCGAGGACCATCGAGGAGCATCCTTGATCATTTGGCGAAAAAACCACGCACGAAACCGAAAAAAACACAGGGAATGGACGTCCGAGCGATGGCGAGCCAGGCATGTGCCTCACGCAGGGCGCTCCAGGAGGGACCTCGCCCTTCGGCGCGCCCTCGCCCTGGGCGGGAGCCGGCGGAGGGCTGGCGGACGCCGGCGGGGGAGCACCACGCAGGCAGGCAGGCGAAGGCTCGGCGGCCAGGCGGGGCAGGGATGAGTCAGCATACTTGGGGTCCAGGATTTCCAGGACCGCCAGACCTCCTCGCGCTGCGAACAAAAAAAACACGACGGGAGGTGTTTCTGTATTCTTGGTATCCGGGGGCCCTCGCCGGGCCTCGGGACCGTCGAAAAGCGACTCAGGATGCAAAACCGGTCCCGGGGAAGGGGTCCAGACCTCTGGGGGTCGACGATGTGAAAAAAACACGACGTCGGGGGTCTGGGCCCCGAGGTCCGACACGCCGCGGGAAAGTGGCAGCCCCGCGAGGAGTCACGACCGGAGCCCCAGACCCCCTCGTTCGGCTGCACTTCTCTCGAGCCGGATCGATCTGTGAGGGTCCCGGGGCCCTATCAGCTGGGCGAAGCAAGCTTCGTGCGCCGCAAGAGAGGCAGCGCGCGGCTTTCTCGGGTTTGTTCGGGCAGGGGCCATAAATCACGAGGACGGCGACGACAACGGCGATCGGGGAGGACGAGGGGGAGACCCGCCCCGCGTTCACACGCGGCCGCGGGGGCCGCGCTCGTAAGGCCGCAGCCGCCACGGCCGCGCGGCTGGACGCCGAGGGCCCCTCGGAGGAGGTGCTCGTGCTCAGCTGCATCGAGGGGCCGATGCTGATGTCTCTCGATCGAGAGGTCGGCGTCCGCGGGAGGATTTGAGAGGGCTGATTCCCTGAGCCTACGCACTCGGAGGAGGGCCAGTCGTCAAGGCAGTGGCGGCCCTCTCCGCGTCTGCCGTCCTGGCTGGCCTTCCTGGAGGGCTCTCGTCGCCACGGCCAGATCCGCCTCGAACGACGTATCAGGGCACGGGTGCATTGCACAAAATCTGGCCTGATGCCGAAGTTAGTCAGGTCATGGAATGCACGGACACTCCGCCAGAGTGATTCGGCCATTGTGTTTGACAGGAGTTATTGTCGACGCCATTCGCGCGGGAGGTCCACAAGGTTGGGGATACGGGGTGTCGACAGCCAAGGGAGGTTGTTGGATGCAGGCCGTTGCCCAGAGGTCCGGCCAGATTCACCCGACATCTTGCTCCCGCGCCAATCCCTTTGGTCGCAGATGGGATGTGTAGTTTTGAGAGCCCCTCTAATGCGACCATAGGATGGCCTGAGTTGTAACCAGCCCGGGTTTGGGGCAGGACCCAGATCCGCGCTTTGTGTCCGTGCATGCTGCGTGTGCTTTGCGGGCGACACCCTCCCAGAAAGTTGGTCGACCAGACCGGCCCCGAGACCCTCTTGGATGCATATATCAGCGGCGTCCAGCGCGGAGTTCTCCTCGCCCGCCGTGCGACGGTCGGGGGCGCCCGGGGAGGTGGACGCAGTTTTGGAGCAGTTCGGCGACGGGGCCTCCGTGGAGCTCGTCGACGACGCGGACTGGACCAGGTTCCCCCAGGTCGGCGCCGCCCTCCAGCAGATCTCCAGCAGGGACGAGTGCTTGACGGCTGCCGTGTGCCGGAAGAGCGGCCTGCGCGGCTTCGGGGCCGGCACCTCGGGAGCTAGCATATGCGGTTGGGCGCGCGCCGATAGGTGGCGATCGGCGGAGGAGCCTCGAGCCTTGAGCCGCAGGATGGCCGGTCCGGGGAGCGATCGGAGCCTGGGCGGTCGCTGGGGGCCCTCGATGGGAGGGTGGGTCCCCCCCTCTGCTGGGGCGGATCGGGGAGGCCAGCCTGGCCAGACCCAGACATGCGACGTCCTGAGTTTCTCCGGACGGGGTCCCCGGAGGTCCCGACCGGCTCATCGGGAGCGGTTTGTCATCCTGGGTCGTTTTGTTGACGCTCCCGAGGCCCGGCGAGGGCCCCCCGAGGCCGAAGATGGCCAAAAACCTCCCGTCCCCTGTTGTACGACGCGATGATTCCTGGGTCCCCATCCCCTCCTCCGGCGCCTCTCATCCCTCCCTCCCCCCTCTCGAGGGCAGCAGGAGCGTGCCGCGGCCTCCCCCCCCCTGAATCCAGAGGCGCAGGGACAGGCAGGCGGGCCGTGCTGGGTCCGCTGTGGGTCCGTTCGGCGGCCGAGGTGGCTCAGCCGCCGAGTGGGTTCGGGAGGGAGCACTTGTCAAGCAGTGGCGAGGCGTCCTGGCGTGCCATGGGCCCACCAAAACATGTTCTCGGAACCTTGTGTGGTTTCCACGAAGTGTTCTCAGCGCGCTTCCGGCTGGGACCGTCTTGTTTCAACGCACTGTTCACGCTCGTGGCAGGCCTATAGGAATGCCGGGACGGTCGGCCCCTGCTCACCTTAGGTTCGGGGGAGCGTAAGACCCGGGTTTGCCAGGACTCGGGTTCGCCATCGTTTTTTGACGACCGCGCCTCGGATTTTGACGAGGAGGAGTTTCGTGGGATGTCTGCAGCGGGAGGCCTCGTCAAAATGCAGGCTCGGCCTCGTCATTTTTTTGACGACCTCGTCGCGCCAACCCGAGTCCCCCGTACCCGGGTCTTACGTCTCCCCGAACCTTAGGTGATGGAGCTTCCGCGAGCGGCGCGCCGAGCGGATCCAGGGAGGGGGCTTCTGCTGAGGAGGCGCCCCGCCTCTCCGTCGCCCTCCCGCCCTCCAAGAGGCCTCGTCGGAGGAAGCAGCAGGAGAGGGCCCGATCTCCTCTGGGAGCCGCCCCCCGCCTTTTGAGCAGCCCACCCCGCCCCCCTCGAGCTATTCCGCTGTGCGCGCCGCCACTTGCAAGGTAAGCATGTGCACTCGGACCCGCTTCACTAGCGCAAGGGCGGCGCTCGTCATCACCATGGCGCTGAGTCCAGGTGGGTCTGGGACGAAACTGCCACAGAAGGTGTTGCTGTGTCGTCCCTTCTCAGGAGGCCTTCTTCCGTCGTCCAGTCTCTCGTCCTCTTTCGCACGGTGGGGCGTGTAGCAGTCCGTTTGAACGCTCTCACGCTCTCTGGAGCCCTCAGTGATCAGCGTTTGCACCCGTTGTCCTCTTCCTCCTCTCTCTCTCTCTCCTCTGCCAGCCGTCGTAGATTTCTGACGCCTGATGCAAATTCATGTCTAGGCAATCGTTGGACGACCAAGCGGCCTACTTCTGGTGATTTGTGTGTCTGCTCCTCTTCCTCTTCCTCTTGCTTCTTACACAGTGCTGTGATGAATGTATTGGCTAGCGTGGCTGTTTGGTCTAGTTACCTGGTAGGGGTTGCAACACAACATCTCCGTAGCCGCGGGGCCGGAACCTCCCACAGGATCATTTGCCATCTGGGTTTCCTCTTGTCGCCTCCCCCTCCTCTTTCCTCCTCATCTCCCCTTCTCCTTCCCTTGTGGTCGGTGTTCTTTTGCCTTCACCACCTCCTCCTCCTTCTTCCTCCTCCTCCTCCTCCTCCTCCTCCTCCTCCTCCTCCTCCTCCCCCTCCCTCTTTCCTCCCCCTCCCCCTCCCCCCTCCCTCCTCCTCCTCCTCCTTTTCCTTTCCTCCCTTCCTCCCTCTCCCCCTCCCTCGCCGTGGCGTACGCCATAACAGCCGTCTGTCCTGCGAGCGTGGCCGAAACTCGGGACGGGCATCCTGCTGTTCTCTGCTGGTGCTTAGGCTGGCACTTCGTGTGGCAGGATGCAGTTAGGAAACTTGAGTTTACGAGTTTCCCTGCTTGCATGGGTGCATCGTCGGCCTGGGTGCGGCGCGGGATAGACCCCTCGAGTGGCAACGGGTTCCTCCTCCTCCTGTCCCCGAACCATATTCGTTCGTCCCCTTTCCCCTCCCTCATCCCGCCATCATCTTCTTCCATCCGCCCTCCCCAACCCGCCCACCCCAAGCTGCCGTCATCCGTCATCCGTCTGCGTGCACCATCCTCCCTTGCCGCCTTCTCGCTTCTAACCGGCGCCGTTCCCTGATGGCCCAGGGGCAAATTGCCAGAACCGCATCGGCCAGGAGCGGTCAGCAGGATGCGCAGCCCGAGCTTTGGCCAGGCAGGGCTCAGACCAGTCAGTGATGTGCGCCTCGAGCAGCCTGGCTCAACGTTGCCAAACTTTGGCCAGGGCCAGACTGGACCAGGATCTGTCAGTGGCGTGCGCATCGGTCTGCCATCGTCCCGCTGTCTTCCCAGAAGCCACCCCATCCCCGCAGGCCGATCGCCATGAGTCATCGTGCTGGGCGAGTAGCGAATGACTCTTTTTATTTACGCGCAGAGGGGGGTTGGGGGGGAGGGGGGAGGGCTTCTTTGAAGCACCCCTGCTTCTTACAAGGCGCGGGCTTTATCCATAGATGTAAGACTGGCGCCTTTTCATAAGCAGCCTCCTTCTAAGAAGCCCTCCCCCCTCCCTCCACCCCTTGTGCGCGCCGCCAAATCTTCCCATTCACCCACCCGGGCCCTCACGTCCACAGCGCCAGAGTGGCCCGGAGAGAACCGATCCGGCGGGTCTCGGGGAAGTCACGACGGGGGCCCCCAGACCCCATCTTGCTGGTACGTGTTTCGAACCGGAACGGTCAGGTCCCAGGGCTTGGAATTGGGCGAAAAGCTCAGGTGCGGAAAACATGCAACGCCCGTGAATCACGGCTCGTTCATCGGCGCACTCCAGCTTGACGCCCTCTTTGCGCCGTCGTGGCCTCTCCTCCTCCTCTTCCCCCCCTCGATCATCGATCCTCTTCGATTCTCTCCAGACCTCCTAGATGGGGTCGGAGTACATGGGGTCGGAGGATCGCGCCGCATCGCCGATGCATCGCCGATGTGGCTCGATATGGAGCCCGATTTGCGCCACGTTGATGTCGCCGACGCATCGCCGACGTCGGCGATGCATCGCTGGGGTGCATCGCCGATGCATCGCCTATTTATCGGCGGTGCGACGCCATCCTTCGACCCCGTCTCGCAGGCCTCAACCCAGACATGCGACGTCCTGATTTGTTCAGGACGCGGTCCCCGGAAGTCCCGACCCGTTCCCCGGGACCGGTTTTTCATCCTGCGTCGTTTTTTGACGGTCCCGAGGCCCGGCGAGGGCCCCCAGAGACCAAATTTGGCGAACAATGTGCCGTCTTGATTCGTTCAGCGACGCGATCATGTCTGGGTATCCTCCTCGATTCTCGATCCTCCCCCTCGATCCTCCCCCGTCGAGGCGGCGTCGGGGCTCTTGCGCCGTACCCTCAGCTCGCCGACCTGGCGCTGCAGGCGCAGCGGCTGCGGTGGGCGCCCCTGCGCACGGCCGCGAAGGCCGCCAGGAGCGGCGTCCAGGGCTCGGCATCGCTCGGACGCGTGCCTCTTGTTTCGGCGAGGGCCATCGAGGACCAGGTCGGAGCAGCATACGAAGCACGTCAACGCACGAAGTCAACGAACGCACGGGGCATGGAGGTCCGAGCGATGGCGAGAGGGTCGAGGCTCGAGGCTGGAAGCTCGAGGGGGGAGGTCTCTCGGGTGCGCGTGGGCCTCCTGGGAGGCTCTCGTGGCCACGGCCGGGGAGCCGCCTCGGCAGTCCTGGTCTCGGAGCGCACCGCAGGCGAGGTCCAGGCATCGGCCTGCGACCCCCGACGGTAGAGGGAAACAATTACTGAACACTCCCCCTTCCCCCCAAACTCAACATTGGCACGCGCGGGGGAGACGGCGGTCGAAGGGCATCTCATCAGACACACCGCCAACTTTGAACATTGGGAGGAGGGGGAAGCGTTGACGGATTGACTGTGGCATGTGTTCGCTAATTTGTTCCGAGGCCTGGATCCCAGATGCCCGATCATGTGTGTGTGTGCTTCACGTTTTCTGATGTGTTCCTCAGTTTTGGGCGTTCTCGTAGCTCCTGCACGCTTTCGCGCCTCGGGATGCCTCCCAACAGCCACACCTCGCCAGCTCCCGCGTGCCCAGATCGTCCCTGAACGGCGGCCAGAAGTCCGAGTTGACTCCCGAAAGCCGAATCTCCAACTACATGATTTCCTCAGTCTGGGCGTTTTTCCTCGATTTCGGCCCCCGGGGCCCCTCATCGGGTCCCCTGGCCATCGAACGTGGATGTGGTGTGAATCAGATTACCCTCAGGGAGCGGGTCGTAGCACTGGCGCCGCGGATTGAAAAAGCCGTATCGGAGGATGTCTGGGACCAGGCCTCGATAGACGTCGAGGGTGGAGAGGGTCGAGGTGCCGAGCGGTCGTGGTCTCATGCGCCCAACGTCCTAAGAAGCTCAAGGTGGAGGGCTTTCGCCGTTTTCGGCCTCTGGCGGGGACGACTGGCCCCCGGGACTGTCCAGGCTGAAACGCCGACCCTGGGGAAGACGAAGCGTCGGGACTTCCCCGCGCACCCTGCGCGACACTTCGAGGCATCGGACCTCCCGGGCTCGACCGGCCCCGTGGGCTGTTCCAGCACGTCCTGGGCTGAAACGCCGACCCCGGGGAAGGCGAAGGGTCGGGAGCAACGGCCGGGCCCGTCCGGAAGCTGTGATCGGAGCGCAGCCTGGTCAGGAGGGAAAACACACACATACACAAGTGAATCGTCGATTCGCAGGAAAATATGGTAACATATGGGAAGTGAGGAAAAAGACAAACACACAGGAAATATGGGAACATGTGGGGAATCCTATTGTTTGTGTGTGTATGTATTTTTGCGGAGGCCTTACGGCCGGTGCCGCCGACCGTGAGGTCTGGGATGATGGCGCGGAGCATGGGGAGGAAGATGAGGAGGGGGACAGGAGGAAGAGGTGGATGAGGAGGAGTAGGAGCAAAGGGGGGGAATGAATAGGAGGAGAGTGAGGCGAGCAGGGTCGCGGGGGGGGCACGAAGGAAGGGCAGGGGCGAATAGAGCGTGTCCATCATGAGGAGGAACAGGAGGGGGATAATGGCGAGGATGTTGACGATGTTCACAACGACGCCGGTTGCCTATCAGGACCATTCGGGGCGTCTTGGAGCCCTCCCGGGGCGTCTCCCAGGCTTCGTTCGCTGTCTTGAAGCTAGGTTCGGCATCTTGGGCATCGGGGAGGCCACGGAGGTGCAGCAAGATCTGGAGGGCGCAATCCTGTTTCAGAAGCCGGGCAAGGGCTGCTAAATCCGTGGCTGCTAAAATCGACCTCCGGGAAGTTGTCTGCGTCCTTCCGGGAAGAAGCCCGTTGACTGTTTCGCGTGCCGCGCCTCATTCCGGGAAGTTTTTTTTTTCTTCCGGGAGGGCCGTTTTAGCAGCCACGGTTTTAGCAGCCCTCGCCCAGCTTTCGACTGTTGTTTGCGTGTATTTGTGTGTGTGTGTCCCAGGGCCCCTTCACCCGGGGCAGCGCCGGAGGCGGAGCGTCGACCCTCGAAGTCCTCGAGCTCCAGAAGCTCGAGAGCACTGCGCCTGAGGATGTTCCCGTCCCTGGGGGCCTTTTCGGGGCTCGGGGGGGCTCGGGGGGGCTCGGTGTGTACACCACCGTCGTCGGGTCGGCCAGGGAGCCAAGAAGTTCGGCGATGGGACGTGGAGGCCCCGGCGTCCCACGGGTTTGGCCGATGGGGCGTTTATGCACCGAGTTCCTTGGCCGACCAAGCGTCGTGGTGCATACATCGACCCCCCTCACAAAGGGGATTGGGGCACAAGTGAGAGGCTCGAGATGGAGGGCCAGCCCCACGGAAGAAAAGGATTAACATGTGCGCACGCGGTCCCGAGACGCGAAATCAGCGGGTTACCCAGGGTCTGGGCGCCTCGCGTGGAAGGCAAGATTCTCTCCCGAGAAGAAGGAGGAGGGAAGAGGAGGAAGAGGAAGAGGAGGTGGAGGAGGAGGAGGGAAACGACAAGGAGGACGAGGAGGTGGACCGGTAGTAGTGAGGGGGGGGACGAGGAGGAGGAGCAGGAGGATGAGGATGAGGCCGAAGAGGCGGACGAGGAGGAGAATGCGGATGGTAGATGGAAGAGGACGAACCGCGTGAGTCTTTTTGGCGGTTGCCGGCGTCGTTTCGGCGGTCTCTTAGCGCTTCTGGGCGTTCTCATCGCCACGGCCGGACGCGGCGTGGAAAACTGGTCAGCGTGAAATCACCAGACGGGCAACCAAGGAAGGAGGTACACGTGAGAGTGGGTGGGTGAGGAGGTGAGGAGGAGAAGCAGGAAGAGGGAGGAGGATGAAGAGGAAAGAGAGAAACTACGATTTTGCGCTTTGGCCATTATGTGGACTCCCAGAAGCCTCGGGGGCTTCTCTTGGGGACATTCGGAGACATTCGAGGTCAGAGGAGGAAAAGGGCTCGGATAGGGGTCGAAAGTTCTGGTCGTGATTGCAGTTGACACGCGTAATGGGAAACATATGTTCCAGCCGAAGGCAGCCCAACATTCCCTGCTTCGACAGTTGTTTCCGAACATGGTGAACCCACATCGAGGTACCATACCATGACGTAAGTTACGTGTGTGTGTGTGTAAAACCAGACAACCATTCTGGAGGAAGTCTGTTCAGATAGTGGAGGACATGCAACACGGCATCGCCACACATATCTGACATGTAGTGTCTTCTTCTACGTGTCTACTGTGCTGTTTTGACGTCTGGATTCACATGGTATCTTCACTTGCGCAGAGTGTTGTCGCCAACAGTGATTTCCCCGGCCCCTACAGTCCCAGTCGGATTGCCAAAGTGCCTCTTTCACCCTGGGCGATTTGGACGTTGTGGATTCGCCATACGCTTTTTTCCCACGACGAGGATGGCAAGGCTTGGGGTTGCGCACGCCCTCCCCCAAGAGGTAGCCCCAGCTGGCCCCAGCAGGGCCCCCAAGGCATCCCATGGTGGCCTCAACCTCCCAAACCCTGCGGCGAGCAGAGCTCTGGGAACCGCCAGAGGTCTCGCTGCGTGTTGAGAGCGCCCCGGACGACCCCGGGGGGCCTGATGAGGCCAGTATCGGTTTCAGTGCTGTCTGTGCGAAGCCCTCAGCCTTGCCAGATTAAGAGACTTGGCATCGCCTGGACGTGTTTTTTTTGTTGGCGAGCACCTTCGAGGAACATCCTGGATCATGTCGCCCCCAAGAAAGAAGCACGCACGAAACCGAATCGACGTCCGAGCGACGGCAAGGAGACGGCTGCGCATCTTCGATCCGGCGTTGTGGTGTTCCGCTGCCCTTCAGGCCCGGGTGGCGAGGGCCACGGCGGCGTTGCGGCGGTTCTGCCGGAAGTGGCTCTGCTCCTGGCGTGCGCGCAGGCGGGAGGCCCTGGTGGCGCACACGCCCGCCTGGCCCTCGTCACCAGCCCCTCCCCGCTTCGAGGGTCTTCGAGGGAGCTCGTGGAGATATTCTGGAGTCGGGACGTCTCCCAGCAGCTGCGCCAAGTCGTCGACCTCTCCTGGACGCCGGGATCGCGACGACGGGCCGCCTGAGACCCGAGTGTTGCATCGGGTTTGTCCCTCTACAGGAGGAACATGGAATAATAACACATGTCCTGGTGACGACATCCCGTGCCCTTTGGATTATCTATGACTCTTGGGACTTGTTTTTTGTTCTTCCAGAAGCTGTCTGTAGGAGGACATGCCCGACCTAACCCGAGTTGTGGCGGATTTCCTGTCCCAAGGCGAAAACAGGCGTTACCACGGGGTGGGGGAGAGGGCGTGTAGTTAACGTTACGATTCGCGCCAGCGCCGTCTAGGAACGCCTAGGAATTGCTGACAATTCCCATGCGGGAGCGGGGGAGGCGGGGCTGACAATTGCCATTTGCGAATCATAAGCATGGGTTCTAGTACAGATCATGCGGCGCGAAGAGATGCAGCATATACGGGCGTCGAAAAGTCTTGCTGTACGATATCTCGGACCACAATGCCCTGTCGACCTTGGACCTCGCAGGATGCTCTTGGAACTCTTACGGGTCTATGTGGGGGGCACTTCTTGGCAGACCAATCTCTTGGCAGGTGCGCCTGCCTGACGATGGGGGTGCTGGCCCCGTCTTGGTATTGCCATCCGGCGCTTCGTGCCCCAGGTCGCCGCTGACAGGAAGTACGCCCGCCGGAGCTTCCCTGCGTGGGGCGACCTGCTCTACGGGGGGCGTGTCGCTCTCCCCGTTCCGGGGTTCAGCTCCGGCTGCTCAGAGAGCGATGCTCGTAGTGCATGCCCCTATCTAGGGGAACGAACAATGACAAATTGTTACGTTTATGTCATTGTTCGTTCCCCTACTATTTCCCACGGTCTATGATTTGTTCCTGCTGCAGGCGTTCCTCCTCGACCTCGGCCTCTGGGGGCCCGTGTTTCGGGCGCGGGGGCCGTCGTGCACGAGTCCGGGGCGGAACGTTGGCCCTGGGGGAAGGGTCGGGACTGCTGGGGTCGCGCGGTCGTGCCTCAGGCAAGCCCGTCCCGCACGGACACTCATCTGTGCAAAGATTGGGCCGACAGCTGCGGTCCTGCGTGGCTTCTCTTCGGGACGTCGTCACTGACAGTCAGCCCGCATAGTGAGGATGAGCAGCCGTCGCAGGGGTAAGTACCCTTGCACCCTTGCCGCTTCGGCCCCTCCTCAGCGATTTTCGCTGGCCAGCCTCTTCGACAAACGTCGACATCGCCTTCCAAGGCCCTTGCATCCTTCCAGCGCGTCCTGACTATACGGGCCGACTGTACGCTTTGGCACGACGCCAGATGTGATGGCCCCTTGGCTCGCCCGTGCCTCGAGGCTCCAGTCCTGGCTCCAGCGGGAAGCCATGGGCGCAGGGCGTGCCCCCCCAAAAACATTCAGAGCGACAGAGGCGAGGAGGCGTGGCCGCCACGCAAGCAGGCTGCGGGACAGGGCCCGACTACTACCGCACTGGGAGCGGCCCTCCGAAGGGGGGGGGGCCACAAGCAGACCCCCGACTGATGGGCCTGTTCTCCCCCACCACCACCACCATAAGTTAGAGGGGGAGGGGGTCTTCCTCCTCCTCCTCCTCCACCTCCTCCTCCTCCTCCTCCTCCTCCTCCTCCTCCTCCTCCTCCTCCTCCTCCCCCTCCAACTAATGGTCGTGGTGGTGGTGGTGGTGGAAGACAGGCCTATCACCGACGTCAGGATTCCTCTTCCCGGCGCGGGCGCCCAGAGGTCTGCCCAGACAGGATCGCGTCGGGGACAAACTCGGGGCGGGAGGTCTTTGGCCACTTTTCGCCTCGGTGGGCCATCGCCGGGCCTCGGCACCGTCAACAAGAACGACTCGGGATGAAAAACGGGTCCCGGGGGGAAAGGGTCGGGACGTCCACGGACCCCGTATGGTGATCGTTTTTGATTCCTTGTTTTGCCGATCGGCGCTGGCCCTCGCACCCCCCCTCCCCCCCCGCCCCCATGGAGTAGATCTTGGCTGTTTTTGGCACCTATTTCGAGCAGGTGGAGCCTCCCCCATAGGCAGAACTGCTGCAAACCGTCGCATTAAGCAGAGGTCCGGAGCCAGACCCCCCCCCCTCCCCCCCCTTTCTCTCAATGTCGAAACGCCGAATATAAGGATACGCTCACATGGACAAGATCAGGGCGTCGCAGGCCTGGATGGACCCCATCCCAGGAATGATCGCTCCATTCTGAGCCGTTTCTGTCGACGGCCGCTGGGTCCCAGGGAGGGCGGCCACAGGCGAGCGGGAGGCCCGGAGCCTCCCGTTGGGATGCTTCTGCTCACGACGCGAGGGGGGGGGGCAGAGAGGAGGTGAGGAGGGGAAGAAGGGAAAAGGGGGGAGGATGGAGGGAGGAGGAGGGAGGAGGGAGGAGGGATGACGGAGGAGGAGGAGGAATAGGCGAAGGAGGAGGAGGAGGAGGAGGAGGAGGAGAGGAGGGGGGAGGGAGGAGGAGGAGAGGAGGGGGGGGGAGGAGGGAGGAGGAGGGTGGGCTGGCGAGCTCGGCCAGGGCACGCCTGCTGCGCGATGCAAGGAGACGGGGTCGTCTTCACCAACAGGGGCGCGTAGGCTGCCCACGCACGATCGCGCGTGGGCACCCTCCTCCTCCTCCCTCCTCCCCTCCTCCTCCTCCTCCTCCTCCTCCTCCTCCTCCTCCTCCTCCTCCTCCTCCTCCTCCTCCGCCTCCTCCTCCTCCTCCTCCTCCTCCTCCTCCTCCTCCTCCGCCTCCTCCCTCCTCCTCCTCCTCCTCCTCCTCCTCCTCTTCCTCCTCCTCCTTCGTGCCCCAAGCGGTGTGCCGCGTTGGTGGCCCGCGTAAGCCGGGGCGTGAGGTCGCTATGCCATCTCGCGCAAGATCCGTTTTTATATATATATATATATATATCGTCGTTCATCAGGAGGGAAAGAAACACACAGACACAATTCATCGTCGGTTCCCAGGAAGATGTGCCAAACTTTGGGAAGCGGGGGGGGAGGACAAAAACCCCAAACATATAGGAAAAGATGGGGAATCTTCTTATCTGTGCGAATTGATTTGTGTGTCCTGGGGCCCCTTCAGTAAGATCCGTTGTTTAACGTCGTGCAGGTGGATGCGCTTCGAGTCGGCGTGCGAGGGCTCCGCCACGCACTGGGCACAGCGCAGGATCGACGAGCGCGGCAACCCGGCGTGGGAGGGCTTCTGCGTCTGCTGCAAGCGCCCGCTCACCGTCTCCTTCGCGGAGGGCCCGGGCGCGGGGCGGAAGCGCAGGAGCCTCGGCGGGGAAGCGCAGCGCTCGGCTCGGCCCAGCTGTGGCGTGCGCTGCTCCTCAGCAAGAGGGTGTTTCTATTCTGGACCGCCTGCATGGGGTGCGAGTAGATGGGGTCGGAGGATCGCGCCGCATCGCCGATGCATCGACGATGCGGCTCGGTGTGGAGCCCGTGTTTCCCGACGCCGACGTCGCCGATGCATCGCCGACGTCGCCGATGCATCGCCAACGCATCGCCGATACATCGGCGATGCATTGGCGATGTGGCGCGATCCTTTTACCCCATGTACTCGGACTCCATCTAGGAGACCTTTAGTTTTGCGTAAAACTGGGGGTCCACGATTTCCTTTTTGGGTGAGCAGGTTGCCTGAGGACTCTCGGCAGTTGGTTCTCGGGGGGGGGGGTCCTTCGACGTGAGTTTGGTTTTCTGTAGGACTCTGAAATGTTCAATGCGCAATTGCGCCGATTCGGGATATGCTGGCGATGCCTTGCAATCCCATGCTGCGACATATCGCAGCGCCTTATAATGCATTGCATTGTGTTGTGGTGTCTGTAACCGCATGCCCCGAATAATAAAGTATTCCCCATT